GGTTTTTATTTAATATAATTTTTGGACAAAAAAATCACAATATATCGCCTTGCTTATAGTATCGCAATATATCGGGATATTTCGTCATGATATGTATCATATCGCCAAATTCTTGCCAATACACAGCTCTACTCAGCAGTAATTTCAGACAATGACATTATATGAAACCTTTTTATTAGTTAGTCAGTTTAAAGTTTATCAGCGATCATCAGAAACTGTGAAAAGCTGAAATAGTTTTGAACTTGATAGTTGTGCTGTTGAATGTTTTTGTTACGTGTTGCTCTGAAGAGGTGGCGTCACCTCACCTYACCTCCTCAGTCAGCTGTAACGAACGCGTGTTTTCTTTCTACTTCCCACCAGGAAGAAGATCTCTGAAAGCAATGAAGTTGTCAAGTCGAACCCATCGAAGCGCCACCGGGATCGGTTGAACGGGGAGCTGGACAGGCTGATGGACCTCCTGCCCTTCCCCGAGGACGTGCGCTCTCGACTGGACAAACTGTCCGTCCTTCGCCTCAGCGTGGGATATCTGCGGGTCAAAAGCTTCTTTAAAGGTAAGGAGGTTTGGCAACAATTCCATGCTTGTATTTTCTGACTATAACAGAAAGGAATCAATTGTTTTTGTAATAAAAAWTTTTGATTATACGTTTTGCATTACATGAAGTGGACTTTTCACAAGAATGTGACGTGATCTGGCAAACAGGGAAACAACTGTGATTCCACCATTCTTCTCATGATATTTTCGCAGTTCTTTAATTCTTTTTTTTTATTATTTTTCCGTATTTTTTTCAGGTTTTTAAATCTGTTTTTCATCGAGTAACAACTGAAGCCAGTCACATAAGGATTTACAAACAAGGATAAATGTTTCTGTCCTGAACACAGACTGTTTTTATAGATCATGATGTTCACACAGATTAAACCTGGTTTAAAGTCTATGAGAAGTGATAAGTTGTCCTGCTGACGTGGTTGCGTGACAAAAGTAATGTTGTTTTTTCTCACATGTACTGCTGAGGCTCCACTTTGTACATCACATAGATTGTGGTTGGTCAGAACTTCATGAGCATGTTTGTCTCATTTCTGCTCTGCTGAAGAACTGATRGCTAAGGCTGTTAGAAAATACAGCCATCTTTATAACTGTTCCAACAAAAACGTTAAAGAAAGTCAAATAAAACCCAATAAAGATAGTCGAAGCACTTATGGAAAGAGACCGGATAATTTTTGTGCTCAGAGGAGACAGTGCAGAGACACAAGCATATCTCCATAGCTGTACTGTGAGAGAAACACCCAAAAAACAGAGAATAGAGACATGTATTGATTAATGAATCTAAAGTTGATTGATCTTATTGACTAAAAATCAATTGATAAGCTGCCATTTCTTAAAAAACCTGAGTCTTCACTTGAATCAAGAGGGTCTTTCTATAACATGGTCTATTTTTTAAATGCTAAACGTAAAAAAAAAGCTCATTATTATATTTTAACAATTTATGGTGCCAGCTGGATAAACAATAAAAATTGTGGTTTCTKAACACATTAATAAATTTGGACATAATTATAAAATAAAACAATATTAGTTTGCTGAATGAAAAAAAGATGGTAAAAACTATATTTATTAGCATTTTATAATAAATTATTATTATTAATCTGAAAGCTGTCACATATATATTATTAAACTATTTAATGGCCTGACCATTGAAAACATGGATGAAATAAGAAATATGAAACATAAAATATACTGAGTTTTTATTCAAAATTTTCAGACAAAATGACAATATATCAGTATATCATCTTGCTAACAGTATCACAATATATTGCAACACATCATGACCCCTGTGTCATAATATGCATCAGGGGCCTCATGCATAAAGGATTGCGCAGCTTTCACACTAAAAGCTGGCGTTCGGACAAATTTAGAAAGGTGCGCCACACCAAAAAAATTCAGATATAAAAGTGTGCGCACTCAGGTTCCTGCGCACATTTCCTGTATACAGCGGGTAAAATAAGTATTGAACACGTCACCATTTTTCTCAGTAAATATATTACTAGAGGTGCTAATG